AAAAGAGTTGACTCTCTCCATTTGGTTTTGGTTTGGATTTTGGTTATTTTTGTTTGTGTTTTCAAGTTTGCTTTAGTACAATGGCTGGGCCTGGGCTGCTCACTTGCTTTGTCCAGCTGCTTTGGGAAAACAGAGTTAAGGATTTTATTTTTTCTTGATCACAGAACTTTACAAAAGAAAAAAAGAAGTGGGTGGAGGAATAAAAGGGATGAAAAATTAAGTTTCACCCTGCCAACACTAGACTGGAAAGAGAGGTATGAATAAGACGAGAATTGGAGACCGGCGATGGCTCTGAGTTCGAGCAACTTGCAGCCAAGTCAAGTACCCTGAGTTCAATCCCTGAGACCTAAGTGCTAGGAGGCAAGAACCAACACTGGAAAGTTGTCCTCTGACTTCTAATATGTGTAACATACATACATACATACATACATACATACATACATACATACATACATACATGTATATGCAGAAAAGAAATGGATGAAATGTTTTTAAATAACAATTTTGAATTATGCCCAGCACAGAGGATATTCCGAGACAGGAAAATCAGCTGATAGAGATAGACATCATAGATTCATGGGTTTGAGAGTTGTGCACTTAAGGATCTTGGTCTGGTCTCCAGGGAGGATTCTAGAAAGTAAGTATCTATGACTAGAGTAGGAACCTTTCAGTCTAGGGGTAAGCAGTTAGGTCTTGCTTTTCTAGGCAAAGATGGCTGTTGCCAGGCCTTGGAATGTAGCTCAGTTGGTAGAGTGCTTGCCTAGTACACATGAAGCCCAGGGCTCCATTCCCAGCACCAAATAGACATAAGGCAGTCTAGTGGTGTTTCCCTATAGTTCCAGTACTCAGGCATCAGGTGGAGCTCCAGTCAGAAGTTCAAGGTCACCCTTTTCTGCCTCTGCTGCTAGAGAGTTCCAGGAGGCCAGCCTGGAATACAGAACACCCTGGACTCAAAAAAGGAAAAGAGGTCAATCTGGAGAGTACACCCAAAATATAAGCTGAACCAAGGTAGCCGGGAATTTGAAAAACAGTGAGCAATTTAGAAATGGAATTTGTCAATCTCTGAGAATGCCTGCATGCTTAGGACAAGGCAGGCAAGAACGTGAAGAAAACCCAGGATTCACTATAGGAAGCTAGAGAAGAGAGATGAAGAGTCTGAGCGGACTGCTTTTGAAGAGGGGCAGCTAATGAGCTGAAAGACCAGCATCTTGTAAATAGACTTCACAAAGAGAAAGTACATTACTCATTCATTCAGCTCTACTCAGGGCACAATCATGTGTTAAGAGGGTTCTAAATGAGCAGCCGAGATACAGTGGTTAAAACAATGGTCCCCAGCTATATGAAATGCATGGCGCCTGGAGAAAACTGGTAATGTTAAAACATATTAAGTCCTGAGTGTCAAGACAAGCCCATTTCCTAGGTGATCTAATTAGATTCCCATTACTCTAAGAAGTGGCTGCTGTTAATATCCCCAGTTTACAGAAAAGGAAATGGGCAAAGTGAGGTCACTTGCCAAGCTACAAACCAGCGGCGAAGTTAAATTAGACAATGCAGTGTTAAAAGCATCTTCCTTTTTTTCCCCCTCCCAAAACATGTTACCGTGAAAGCCAGTCTGGCCTTGCATTTTTAGCTACTCCTGCCTCAACCTTTCAATACAGGATTACAGGCATGTAGCATCATGCCCAGCTTTTGAAACCCATTTTCTTAACCTCTGCAGAAGTCTGAAGGTCACACCAAGCATGAGGGGCTTGGTGGTACATGCTTGCAATTGCAGAAACTCAAGAGCTTAAGGCAGAAGGAATGCTTGATCCCAGAAGTTCAAGGCCAGCCTGGAAAACACAGGAAGACCAAGTCTCAAACGCAAAACAGAAGGTGACACTTAAAGGGGAGTGGCCTTCACAAGACAGCAGCTGAAACTGAAAAAGACTATGGTACCTTTCAAAGGTTCAAGTTCTCACAGTTGGGATTTTACAGCAGTCAGGTGGGCCCTGAAGCCACCCTTCCTTTTGTCTTTAAGAGCAAACAGCTATTAATCCAGGGTTATAACTCAGTGGCGGAGTGCACACCTTGCTCTTGTTAGGTCCAGTGTTCAACTCCCAGTACAAAAAATAAAAATAAAAAAAATAAAGCAGATTTTGCTGGGCCTGGACTGGCGTCTATGACCCCAGCAATCATGAGCAAGGCTGAAGTGAGTTCAAGGCCTGATTGAGCTATATAGTAAGTTTCAGACACCAAGGTTCTGTACAATTTTAAAAATACCTTGAGTACTATTGGCAGCTATGTGCAGAAAACTCAGGCAAGAGTAGAAGCGCTCAGGTTTTTCATGTGCCTAGACCTATGGAGTGGAGTCCTGCACTTGAAACATCTAGTCATTTCCACCTCCCCCAGCACTGGCCATTCCCATCACATCATCTGCCAACTACTGCAGTTTGTGCTGGAAAAAAAAAATATTTTAAAGCTCTAAGGACATCAATAATTAACTTCCATACCACAAAACTTGTAATATGAGTTTGCTGAAATAAAGTCACCAGTATTTAATTCTTCTTTAAAGGGTGTCTTCTATTATTATTATTTTAGAGTGCAATTTAGTCATCAAAGGTTTACACAGCCTCATGTTTATAAATTATATAGGGCAGGGATTTAACTCTTCTGGCCCTACCTGTTTTGAAGAGAGGGAGGGTCATAACCCTGTTGTCACACCCGGCACCTGCCTTGAAAGGAGGTGAGTTCGCAGCTGGAACTTCACAGCTCTTTCAGAAATCTGGGATGAATATACAGATTTCCTCCTATGATGCAATCACAAGAATAACCCGAGAGTTGCCTGCTGGCTTTTATCCTCCAGAAAGCTGTTGGGAAACTTCATCTTTTTCAGTTGCGTTTCAGAGTCTTGCCTTGATTATGTGACATAATAATAGTGGCTTTCCAATTCATCTGTGAAATATTGTTTTTTCATTGTGGTGGTTACTGGTGAGAGCATCAGAGGGGGTAAGGGCTACTATCCTAGGTAAATGAAAACGGAGGTGAAACCACCTAGAGCCCTCACTGACTACCCAAGTCGTAAATTCCAAGCCCTGACTTACGTGTTTACATCCTAAGGGCGGGGGCAGTCAAACATAGGCTCATCCAAGTTCATCAAGGGTTTGGGACCTTGGCTTGAAATTGACTCTTTCCAAGTAGTGCTCAGCCCTAGCGTTCCAAGTCGTTTTTGCCATCACAATGACCGGGTGGGGAGGTGGGGGGAGGGGGTGGGAACAGGTGTTCTTTTTTTGTTATTCTCTCATTTGAAAGAGTAATGTTTTCAGAGTTAAACCGGCCTAGTCCCGCGGGTGTGGGGTTGAACCCCTCGAGGTCACACGAGGGAGGGGCTCCTTTTCCAGGCGAAGTAGTGCTCTTCCCCACCCCCTATCTCGAAAGCCCTCCCAGCCCTCAGCCAAAACCAAGGAATGAAAAGTCGCCCAGCTTGAATCTCCCTTTTACGGACTGGGCAGCCTCGTTTCACTGGGACGAGATGCATTCCAAGAACGCCTCTGTGGTCGGCCAGAAGAGGAAAATTCAGGATGACAAATATTCCGAAGGAAACTAATATAGGTCCCACGATTCCGGGACTCAAACAGGTGAAACGACCGAGGACACACGTGGCACAGGAGGAGCGAGTGCACACACGCCTGTACTAGAACCCCTTTCCTAAGTCCTTTTCTTCGTGCCTACCTGAACCCGCGCCCTCAACTGACTCTGCCAGGAGCGAGGGGACTGAACCTTGAGGGCGGTGGAGCCCAACTCTGTGCGCCCCAATCCAAAGTAAACAACCAGTCTTCGTTACCGAGTGATACTTAACACCACACTCACGTTTTTGGTTTGGCTTTTTTTTTTTTTTTTTTTTTTAAGTGCTGTTTGTAGAGATGAGGGCGAAAACATTTCCCGGCTGGAAAATTACTGATCACGCACTAAGAAGGTAGTGGGATTGGGAAGGAGAGTTTGAGACTGAAATAAGGACGGAGTGGCATTTCCCCTCCGGTGGGCAAGGACCTGGAAAGTCACTTTTGGAGAACTAGGGTCCCACTGCCGAGCTCCACACGGTCGCCTCCCAGCGAAGTCCCTTTGAGTGGACTGGCCAGCTCGAAACCTAAACTGAAGGGAGCGAGTTGTCCTATGACCTTTACCTCGCCGCTTCACCTCTTTATGACTCACGTTTCTCATCTTCAAACTGAGAGTGCGAATACGTAGCTTGTAAAGAGCTTTGAGATCCCTGGTGAAAGGTATCTCCGCGCCTCGATTCTTCCTGGCGCTCCCACTCCCCGCAAGTAAATCTGGAATCCTTTCACTCCCTTCCTTGCTCTTTCCAGTATCAAAACTGTAACTGCGTGCCCAATCCTTGCCCTTTTCCGCCATAGCAGACCCTCCCGGGAGCTCCTGAGACTCCTAGTCCCCAATCACACGGCCACTAACCCCAACCCTGCAAGAGGCCCCACGGGCACCCGCGCCAAGCCAGGCCCAGCGCCGACAGAGCCCAGCCTCTGCGTGCGTATGCGAGGGAGGGCGGGCTGGATGAGTCACGCGGATAATCGCGCTCTTGGGTGCGCAGACGACTCTACAGGCGCAACCGCGAGCAGCAGTAGGAGCTCGCCGCCGCCCCCCTCCCCAACCCTGTCCCTGCCAGGGTTCCCGTGACAGGGCTTTCGAGCCCAGGGAACCGACCGTGGCCGCATAGAAGACCCTAAATCGCCGTGCCACGGAAGCCACGCCGCGATCCTAGCGCCGAAGCCGCCGTCGCCGCCACCGCCGCCGGCGTCAGCACGGCTCCAGCCCGCCAGCTGCCCGGCTGGCGTCACGGCCCGGCCCCGCCCCGCCCGTGCCCCTCCCTCGCCCCCGCCCCCACGTGCGCCTAGTTTGTTTATTTAGCTGCCATGGCAACGCGCAGGGGGAGCTGCGGGAAGAAGAAAGGCAGGGGGCGGGGCCTGGCGGCGGAGCCCCGCGCGCCACGGGGAGGAGGCGGGGGAGCGAGCGAGCGAGAAGTTATAAGTAAGAAGCGCGCGGCGGCCGCCGGCAGTTCCCCGGCCGAGAGAGCGAGCGCGGCTCCGGGCGCGCGGGGAGCAGAGGCGGTGGCGGGCGGCGGCGGCACCGGGAGCCGCCGAGTGCCCCTCCCCGCCCCTCTGGCCCCCCACCCAGCCACCCGCCCGTGACCCGCGCCCATGGCCGCGCGCACCCGGCGCAGCCCCCAGGACTCCGCACCCCGCGCCACCGCCCAGCTCGCAGTTCCGCGCCACCGCGGCCATTCTCACCTGGCGGCGCCGCCCGCCCACCGCCCGGACCACAGCCCCTGAGCCGCCGACAGCCACAGTGGCCGCGACAACGGTGGGGGACACTGCTGAGTCCAAAAGCGTGCAGCCTGGCCATCGGACCTACTTATTTGCCTTGCTGATTGTCTATTTTTATAAGAGTTTACAACTTTTCTAAGCATTTTTGTATACAAAGGAACTTTTTAAAAGACATCTCCGGTTTATATTGAATCCAAAGAAGAAGGATCTCGGGGAATTTGGGGGTTTTGGTTTGGGGTTTCGTTTTTAAAGTTGTTTTTAATATTCGTTGACTTTGGGGTTCGGGTACCCCTCCCTCTTCTTCGGACTCCGGAGGACCTTCTGGGCCCCCACATTAATGAGGTAGGTGAGATGCTGGGCTAGGGGAACAGAAGAGGGTGAGGATTGGTGGGAACCTCGGAGCAGTGACCAGGGTGGCCCCTGACTTCTGGTCCCTGTGCGCCCCGCCCGGCCCGCAGGCAGCCACCTGGCGAGTCTGACATGGCTGTCAGCGACGCTCTGCTCCCGTCCTTCTCCACGTTCGCGTCTGGCCCGGCGGGAAGGGAGAAGACACTGCGTCCAGCAGGTGCCCCAAATAACGTGAGTGTCGCGCTAGTGCCCGGTAGATTTCTGCGGATAGGATGGGGTGGATGGGCGGAATCCAGGGGTCAACCAGGAGCCCTAGGCTATGACTAGAATTGCTCTCCGTTGGGACTCTACAGCCTTCCCAGGGTGGCTTCTCAGCCTTTAAGTCGGCCTTCAGTGCGTGTGGTCCCGGCACTACGGTACCGCCAGGGGCGCACAGCGGTTCCTCGCTGGTCTCTCGGCGTCCGGGCCGTGGGGTGGGCGCACGCGGGCCACTGGTGGCCAAGTCTCGAGACCCTCTGGGCACGAGTGAGTTTGGCGCGTAGGCGGCCGGGTAGCTAAGGTGCATGGGGAGAAAGCCACAATGTCCTAGTGTCCCAATTCCGTGGGCGGCTGGAGCGTCTCGAGTATCTGGCGGGGAAGAGAATTGGGCTGGCGGAGGTGCGGCACTAGTTTGAGGTGGAACCGTCGTGCCTCCTCTTACCCGGGTGTTGGCTGAGATTGCAGCTCTGGCACCTGGGAGTTCCTAGAGCTGCCTTCCTGCCCTGTCCAGTGTCTATGGCAGGAGTGCTGGTGTGCTTCACCCACCAAGTCGATACTAGGGGTGGCAACCGGGGGCTACAACTAACCGCTTTTCTCTCCCTCCCTGTCCTTGGCAGCGCTGGCGAGAGGAGCTCTCTCACATGAAGCGACTTCCCCCACTTCCCGGCCGCCCATACGACCTGGCGGCGACCGTGGCCACAGACCTGGAGAGTGGTGGAGCTGGCGCAGCTTGCAGCAGTAACAACCCGGCCCTCCTACCCCGGAGGGAGACCGAGGAGTTCAACGATCTCCTGGATCTAGACTTTATCCTCTCCAACTCGCTGTCGCACCAGGAATCTGTGGCCGCCACTGTGACCTCCTCGGCCTCAGTTTCATCCTCGTCCTCCCCGGCGAGCAGCGGCCCTGCCAGCGCGCCCTCCACCTGCAGCTTCAGTTACCCGATCCGGGCTGGAGGTGACCCGGGCGTGGCTGCCGGCAACACAGGTGGAGGGCTCCTTTACCCCCGAGAGTCTGCGCCACCTCCCACGGCCCCCTTCAACCTGGCGGACATCAATGACGTGAGCCCCTCGGGCGGCTTCGTGGCCGAGCTCCTGCGGCCGGAGTTGGACCCAGTGTACATTCCGCCACAGCAGCCTCAGCCGCCAGGTGGCGGGCTGATGGGCAAGTTTGTGCTGAAGGCGTCGCTGAGCACCCCTGGCAGCGAGTACAGCAGCCCGTCGGTCATCAGTGTTAGCAAAAGCAGCCCGGACGGCAGCCACCCCGTGGTGGTGGCGCCCTACAGCGGTGGCCCGCCGCGCATGTGCCCCAAGATTAAGCAAGAATCGGTCTCCTCCTGCACAGTCAGCCGGTCCCTAGAGACCCACTTGGGCGCTGGACCTCAGCTCAGTAACGGGCACCGGCCCAGCACACACGACTTCCCCCTGGGGCGGCAGCTCCCCACCAGGACTACCCCTACAATGAGTCCCGAGGAACTGCTGAACAGCAGGGACTGTCACCCTGGCCTGCCTCTTCCGCCAGGATTCCATCCCCATCCAGGGCCCAACTACCCTCCTTTCCTGGCAGACCAGATGCCATCTCAAGTCTCATCTCTGCATTACCAAGGTCAGTGAGGGAAGGGGTTGGTAGAGCTGCTGCTGGGGTTTTGCCTAGGGGAGTTTCTCAGGCTCCTGAATGAAGTTGACCCCCCCCCCCCACTTTCTTTACCCCTAGAGCTCATGCCACCGGGTTCCTGCCTGCCAGAGGAGCCCAAACCAAAGAGGGGAAGAAGGTCGTGGCCCCGGAAAAGAACTGCCACCCATACTTGTGACTACGCAGGCTGTGGCAAAACCTATACTAAGAGTTCTCATCTCAAGGCACACCTTCGAACTCACACAGGTAAGGGGACCAACGCTGTGGAGGAGGTCTGTCTGCTCATAGGCTGGCTGTGGATTCCTTAGGGCTTTCTTGGGTGCTGGGGTGTATCTCTTCTCCATCTCCTGGATCACAGAGGAGGGCAGCAAACAGGCGCCTGTGTTTTTGCCCAGAAGCCTTTTGCTTGATGGATGCTATCTGCTACCTGAATGTGCAGTTTCTCACCGGGCCTTTAAAAGATAGGGAGTTTCCTGTGTACGCCTGCCCCTCCTAGCTTGCTAATCGAGAAATTGTACTTTGCAATGTAAAAGTACGGTATTTTTCAAAGAAAAGTTTTAAATGTTGTAAATTATTTTCATAGTTGTTCCCTCCTCCTGAGATCTGTGTACCCTTAGCTCTATCCTAGTCTTTTAAAATAATTAGGTTGGATTTACATCCCAAGAATTTAATGGTTGTGATTGCTGGGGATTCTGGTTTAAAACCAGATACAAGCTGGGTATGGTTTAAAGTTGTCTCTGCAAGCTGGGTGTGGTGACACACAATTTTGTAGTTAGAAACACCGAAGAGGCTTGAGTTAAAAGGATCAATTAGTTGATCTCCAGGCCAGCCTGGTCAAGAACCCCAGTCTCAAGAGTCTTCTAGATGTGTTTATTAAGAGAGAGAGAGAGAGAGAGAGAGAGAGAGAGAGAGAGAGAGGGAGAGAGAGAGGGAGAGAGAGAGAGAGAGAGGGAGGGAGAGAGGGGGAGAGGGAGAGAGGAAAAAAAAACCTGGAATGACACTACAGAAGATACTAGCCACTGGTCCAGTGTAATGGGGTGGGCAGAGATAACTGCCAATATTTCCCAGTCCATTTCTAATACTGGCTGAGTTCAAAAGAATGAAAAAAACGTCAGTTCTATGGAAATGGGGACGGAGTAGGTATTTGCATTTTGTTGTTGTTGCTAACTACTGTTTATGAGTTTAAGCTCATGCATGTTTTTCCTATTTATCATCTGAATTTCAATATGACCCTTTGGTATCGTAAAGACATTCCTGGATTTTTTTTGAGAGAGGGTGGAGTGTGCACCAGAAGTTGGCTTTACTCCTTGACCTCTATTTTTAAAAGGGGCTAATTCTTCATTCTAGCAATGGCTTTAGCAGCCCTTTTTCCCTTTCCCTTTACAGGTGAGAAACCTTACCACTGTGACTGGGATGGCTGTGGGTGGAAGTTCGCCCGCTCTGATGAACTGACCAGGCACTACCGCAAACACACGGGGCACCGTCCCTTTCAGTGCCAGAAGTGTGACAGGGCCTTTTCCAGGTCGGACCACCTTGCCTTACACATGAAGAGGCACTTTTAAATCCCACATAGTGGACATGACCCACACTGCCAGGAGAGAGTTCAGTATTTTTTTTTAACCTTTCACACTGTCTTCCCACGAGGGGAGGAGCCCAGCTGGCAAGCGCTACAATCATGGTCAAGTTCCCAGCAAGTCAGTTTGTGAATGGATAATCAGGAGAAAGGAAGAGTCCAAGAGACAAAAAAAAATTAAATAAAAAATAAAAAAATCAAAACAAAAAAAAATACCAAAAACAAAGAAAAAACAGAGAAAAAAAAAATCACAGAACAGATGGGGTCTGAGACTGGATCTTCTATCATTCCAATATCAAATCCAACTTGAACATGCCTGGACTTACAAAATGCCAAGGGGCGGCGACTGGAAGTTGTGGATATCAGGGTATACATTAGATCAATGTGTTGGGGGAGGGAAGGCCAAAATTCCCTTGAATTGTGTTTAATGATGCAATATACATGTAAAGATCACCTTGTATGCTCTTTGCCTTCTAAAAAGCCATTATTATGTCAGAGGAAGAGGAAGCAATTCAGGTACAGAACATGTTCTAATAGCCTAAACGATGGTGCTTGTGAGTCGTGGTTCTAAAGGTACCAAATGAGGGAGCCAAAGTTCTCCAACTGCTGCATACTTTGACAAGGAAAATCTATTTTTGTCTTCCGATCTACATTTATGACCTAAGTCAGGTAAATATACCTGGTTTATTCTGTAACATTTTTATGCAGACAGTCTGTTATGCACTGTGGTTTCAGATGTGCAATAATTTGTACAATGGTTTATTCCCAAGTATGCCTTTGAGCAGAACAAATGTGTTTTTCTATATAGTTCCTTGCCTTAATAAATATGTAATATAAATTTAAGCAAACTTCTATTTTGTATATTTGTAAACTACAAAGTAAAAAATGAACATTTTTGTGGAGTTTGTATTTTGCATACTCAAGGTGAGAAATAAGTTTTAAATAAACCTATAATATTTTATCTGAACAGAAATCTCTTTGTTTTGATTCCGGCTTGGAAAAGAACTTCCATGTTAACAGGGCAGTGGAGGAGGGTTTGTGAGAACCATTCTGTAAAGCCAGTTTCACTTAACAGAGGAGTAAATTTGTTTTTCAAGCTACTCAGTTTTACATTAAGTAGTGCAGGAGTTGAGAATAACACGGATGGGAAATTATAAAACATCTGGTTCGTGTGTGCTCTTTACAAATACGAAAGTGTACTTCCTTACCCAAATGCACATTTCCAGGTATACATGGCTAAGTTATTCTTTGATTTGCTCAGTTTTACAGAGAGCACTGAACAGTAAACCTGAACGCTCTAATTACACACACACACACACACACACACACACACACACTTAATTACATTTTGTCTTTTAAAGTAAATGAAATTATGATAAGTTTTCTCTGAAGGCCTGGCCTCTTAGTCCCTGCAGAAACTGAGTAACAAAAGAGCCTTCCCCAAGCAAACAGCCCTAGGAATGGAATGTGGTTCCACAGTGCCCTCCGGAGGATTAAGGCCTGCATTTATGCTTCGTTTGTTATCCCTAAAGAGATCCAAAACATACTGTCTACAGAGTATTTTAAAGCTTCCTCATTCTCTCTGAAGACATGGAAACAAAATTATTCAAACTCCTGGGGCTGAGAGTATGCAGCTCAGTGGTTGGATGCACCTGAATAAAACCTTTGGAGGTAACAACCCCTCCTGGTACTCACATTTGTGTAACTCATAAATTAAAACTTTTCAGTGGTGTCCTTGAAATTTGTAAGCATTTCTGCTTCTGAGATTGTTTACGCTTAAAACTGCACTAATTGCCATCTCAGGAGGTTGAAGTAAAACTATCTTTAGCTGTCACAAAATGGAAAAAGTACTTGTGATCCTTGTAGACACTAATGCTGTAGTGACTCAGATGATGAAGGGATCAGAAGCTGACTGGCATTTTCTTCGGGGTGCTTATTAACTACCCATTGTATCTAGTGCCCAGAGTTGTGTTTACACCGGAATACACTTTATAAATGGAATATAAGAACTTAGTATTCACCAAGGGCTCATGGGAGATCAGCACAAAGTATTTTCGCTGACATTTAAGAGGCCAACATGATTGAAAAACACAGCATGTGTCTTTGCTTAAAGGAAAACAGGTGCATCAATAGGATGGAATTTTATGTGGCCAAGAACATATTCAAAGCAAACCTAATGACATGGAAAAATGTCCATGGTATGTTAAGTGGAAAAAGCAGGCTATAACACAATAAACAGTATGACTCCAATTGTATGTGCATGCACTTGCGTTTGGGTTTTTCTTGTGTAACCCAGGCTGGCCTCAAACCTAACTATGATGCTGAGGAAGGCCTCGCACTGATCTCTGGCTCTGTCTCCCTAGGATTATGGGCATGCTCTATCGTTCCCAGCTGTGCTTCCTTTTCAGTTTCGTTGTGCTTGATCTTTTGTTCTTTTAAATAGGGTTTCATCTTGTAGCCCACGCATGCCTGGAGCTTGCTGTATGTAGTCTGATGTGTTCTTTAAGTTAGTGACCCTCTTGCCTCAGCCACCCCAGTGCTGGGATTACAGATGAAGATTGTGTGCTTAGCGACTTTTTCTTTGTATTAATTAGTGGTTGATTGTTTACATAATCCAGCTGTTTTAGGGCACAAAGCTACTTTGTAGAAACAGTTTATTCCAGCTAGGATGTATGTAGCTCAGTGGGCAGAGAGTTTGCATACATGAGGCCTTGGGTCTGATCCCCTGCATTACCTAAAACTAGGCATGGTGGTACATATCTGTAATCCCAACACTTGGAAGGTAGAGGCAGCAGGGTCAGACGTTCAAGATCATCCTCAAGTGTGCAACTCAAGGCCAGTCTATGAGGATCTGTCTCAAACAAAAGATGGGGGAAAAGGAAGAAGTGCCTTTCTGGATGAGTGTTAACCATCTTGTGTATAAGGTATCAAAACATTTCAAATGTGTTCAAAAATGGCTGATGTCATAGGGGAACATCAGTACACATTAGCTTTTTCTAATCTGCAAAAGTAAAGTCAGTATCTCAAATGAGGAAGAAGAGTCCTCTCAGTGTAACAGGACAAAACATTAACAACACACAACACTGAACTGTTTCCTCTCACACCTAGTAGTTCCAGGTGCTAGGTACACTGTCGTTGCATGCCATTGCAGAGTTACGGAACCACTCACACGTATCAGAGAGTACCTAATAATTGAGATGCCTGCTTATTATATTTTCCTTATGACATTTAATTTTATGTGTCCTAGATTTTAACTGGCAGGCTTACACAAGGGGATTAACTGTAGTGTTTCCTGTTGTCAACAGACATGTAGGCTGTCTTTTATTCTGTCAAAACATTCTTTGTAGCAGAAGAGATTTGCATTTCTGTTCATTTTGTTTTTGTTTGCTGTTGTTCTTGTGTTGAGACATTGTCTCCTGTATCCTAGTCAGGCCTGGAAATCTCTATGTAGCCTTGAACTTCTGATTGTCCTGCCTTCATCTCTCAATTACTAGGTTTACAGATAAATGCCCCAACCCCTGGTTTATACGATGCTGAAGATGTGGGACTCCACCGTTTAAGATGCATTCTCAAACTTTTATTTGGGGGATGGGGAAGCAGTCTTAATATATATCCCAGGCTGGTCTCAAACTTACTCTGTAGACACCTCCTCCAAAAACTTATTTGACTTTTTGTTTCATTGTTTGTTTCACTTTTTCGAACAGTATGGAATAACATTTCACAACTGGAGATTAACAATTTTTATATACTATATGAATATACATGTAGTTATACACATAGAGCTATATAGCAGAGGATGACTTTGAACTCCTGATTCTTTAGGCTCTACCTCCAGAGTGCTAGGATTATGAGTATGTACCTCTGTCCAGCTACATGAGTCTTTATAAGGGAAACAAGAAACAAGGTAATGCAATGTATAGAAGCTGTCCCATGGGAAATATATTAACATTAGTTCTTGTACCTGTTCTGCTTTGACAACACAGGAAGTCTCTAGATTTAGCAACGAGTGCCAGCCACCTGCTCCATTACAAGCTCTGGCTTCTGATGCCGTATTTAGCACAATACAGACCAGATCATGCCCTCCACCCCCACATACACACACATACCTTTCATCTCTCATCTCTCTTTCTCTCTGTCTCTCTCTCATATAGACAAAGGTACCACCCAGTCCTACAAAAACACCTTTATATATTTATTGTTTCAATCATTTTATTATTTTATTATGCATTATGCTTTTTATATTTGTTTTGGTTCTTTGTATTTTCTTAGCGCCTTCTACAGGCTATTGTATACTGTCGTGTTTTTATAGTGCTAAACTGAAGCCATGTCTGCCTCCTAAAGGTCACTTATGAAACTGTCTTCCATTGTTCACATGTACAGTCATTCAAAGATATTTCATATAAAACCACCATGATCAGTCTTCATAAGCAAGGCTGTGGAATGTGCTGCCTGTGAAATTCACGGGGAGAGAGTCCTTCAAAAATAACACTATGAAATTAATCTTTTTCAATTTTGCATTAAATTAAAAGGCTTTGTCTTACAGAAGATAGCCTTTAAGGAAATTAATAACCATATCCTGAAAAATGTTTTATTCTCCCACCACTTTAAATTATGTAGTGTGTCTATTCCCAGATCACAGTAAAAACAGAGGGAAAACACAATCCCCCAGGCTGGTATGAAGCTTCTTATAACCAGGTATCTTGGCTGGCAAAGGAAAGAATACACAGGCACAGCAGTCATGTTGCTGTAACATTATATACCTAAGCCCTTCGTTCTAATTGTTGTTCTTGATACAATATCACTTGAATTGCTTTGCTTCTCTCACACCTAAGTGAGTCAACATGTTGCTAACAGGTCCACCCAAAAGTCTTCCAGGTGTTCTTTAAGGAAAAGAAGGGAAATAAGTAGAAATCTCACTAAAGAGCAAAAGAGAAACGGTATGCCCGGTGTGGTCTCTGCATTCACCTGATCGAACACTTGCTTTGTGGATGCAGCTCAATGATTATACCCAGAATGTTAGGGTCATTTGCTGTGCTTTTAGGTTGGTTTTTATGTTTATGTTACATGTTATCATTAAATGGGGCAGAAAACAAGTAGTCAATGACTTAGGATGTCTAATCAGACAGGTAGACAGATGGAGTCCTTCTAGAGCTTGGACAATTATCTAGTTAAATCAACTACAACAAATAGTTAAATATGCCCAGCTCACTGTGTCTGAGACCTGAGGTTCCTATCCCTTTTATTTTTATTTATTATGTTTGAGACTGGGTCTCAAGTTCCAGAGCTGGGGCTTCAACTTCTGATCTTCCTCCCTCCACCTCCTGAATGCTGGGATTATAAGATATATGTCATGATGCCCAGTTTATGCAGTGCTGAGGATCAAACCCATGGTTTAGTACATGCTAGGCAGGCACTTTCCCAACTGAGTCAAATCCCTAGGCATTCTTGTACCACTTATATGAGTCTGCACTGACACAGGATCAATGAATTGCTACATGGCCAAATCCTCATGGCACGAATCCAGTGTGTGCGGATGCTGTATCTGCATACTCACTCAGACCCTTTAAGGTGGGTATGTGCTGTTGGATGCACTTGCTGAAAGCCTGAGAGGTAAGGTAAGGCACTGTAAACCATGAAAGTAGAATGCAGTCAGCATGATTGGAAGGGACTTTACACCTGGGCAGACACACCTTGTTCTGATCCAGGTTCCTTTTCCTAGTGTATAATAATCCCTCTTAGTGCTACTCGACTCTATGACTCTGTTACCTTACAAGGGGTAGGGGTGGGATTTCCCCCTCCCAGCCCCATTACATGGATGAAGAAGCCAAGATTCCCTTTTCATAAAGTTCATTTCTTATTCTTGCTGCCATATCCTGAAGGCTTCTTGTTTGTTTGGGGTGTTTGGTTTGGTTTTTAGATGGGGTCTCCTGTAGCACAGGCTAGCCTTAACTCCTGATCCTCCAAAGTGCTGGG